TGACAAATATTTGTTTATTTCACTTGTATAATTTCTGAGTGATCTTCAAAAATATGATAGGATATAAATGACACTTGAGTTTGTGTTGATTTTACTTTATCATTTCTGACGTGTAGGTTAAATTTTCAAAATCTTTTTAGCAAACTAATGACATTTTAAATATTTGTATTGGGCCCAAATAGGCCGGTTGACGGAATGACATGTATTATTTAGGAGAGATATAAAATAACAGCTGTAATAATGATTATGTAAAGGAGTATAAGCATTAATGGTTGTATAATTGGATAATAAACTGACAAGATAAAGTAGTAATAAAAAATAATGGTGGACAAAAATGTATAAGCCAAACAATTGATTATACAATTATGATAATAAATGATAATGGAAATGGTAAAAAGTGATATAGTAGTAGTGGTAGATATAAATAATAATAATAGTCGATAATGGTCGGTGAATGATACCGATTATGATAATAATAACAATAATACATAAAAAAAAAAAAAAAAAAAAAAAAATAAAAAAAATAAAAAAATAAAAAAAAAAAAAAAAAAAAAAAAAAAAATTTAATATAAAAGGCAAATGTTGATTCCACTGTGTGCTTTCTTTCTCTCTATCTATCTTTATATCTATATATCTATCTCTATCTATCTATCTATCTCATTGTTCTTCCTCATCCTCATCCTTATCCTCTTCCTCAATCCTCATCCTCATCCTCTTTCTCCTCCTCCTCCCCTTTCCTCCTCCTTCTTCTTCTTCTCCTTTCCTTTCTCCTCCTCCTCTTCTTCTCCTTTTTTCTTCTCCTCCCCCCTCCTCCTTCTTCTTCTTTCGTCTCCCTTCTTGCTCATTGACCCGTAGCTATATTTAATTATTATATATTATTATCATACGGATCATTGTTATCATTATCAATTAGTATGGATTGGTTGTTATTTATTATCTTATTATTATTATTATTATTATTATTATTACTATTATGCTTTAATTATTGTCCATTATCATTATTATTTTAGTTGTAATCATACTAATATATTATTATTATATTAGTTGATGATCGTATTCACTGCCTCTTCGTCCTGTGCGTTCTTCGTTCTTCTTTCTTCTTCTGTCTTCATTTCTTCTCCTCTTTTCCTCCAACATAGTGTATGCATTTATTATTGTAGTTGTAATTTTATTGTTTACTAATTTCATTAGTACTGTCATTATTATCACTTAATATCTATTATCAATTATTATTATTATTATCCTTATCATTATCCACTTGCTATTATTATTAATGTTACATTA